CCATCCCCTGTAACATCCCATCAAACACATTTTCTGTGCCACAACCTCATGTCTAAGTTCTTCGAGGCTCCCACAAGTTTCCCCCAGCTGAGCTGTAGGGCCACGTCTGCTCCCTGTTGAGGAAACTTAGCCGCCTCCATGTCAGGAGCTCCCTGAAGGCCAGGACTGTGCTTCATTCATCCATCCAGCTCCGGTGCCGGGCCTGCAGTAGAGGCCTGGCTGGGTGCGCGGACAGCCTGGCACCCGAAGGACGAGAACCGATTTCCTGGGCCTGGGTCTGCCAGAGAGGGAAGCCATCCCTGCCCTCCTTCTGCTCCTGAAGGGAACGTAAAGAGGTTAAAAAGAAGGGGTTTCTTTCCTTTCAGCCTCCTTCCTAGTAAAAGCATTTACCACAAGTGTGCTAATGTACTTTCTCATTTACTTGTGTGTTCATCTGCTTTCAAAATACACATTTGAGGCTGTCCATCATAAAAAGAAATGAGTATATTGAAGCTATACTAGTAGTAATCAAAAACCCACGTAGAAGGAAGGGTGAGTGAATCCATGCAATGGCTAAGCTAACATAGTTATTGCAGGTAAGCATCAAAATTAACCATGAGCTTCCCGGCAGCCAAAGGGAAAATACCAAGAGGAGGGGCGCTGAGGCACAGAGCTGATGAATGCTGGAGTGAAACATAGCGTAGAGCTTGTTGCTTGTGGGCTTGGGGAACTCTAAACCTTTGTCAAGCCCACTCGGGAGGCTCCTGGTTTGCACCAAGCTCTGTCCTGGGCCCCTTGCTCAGGTAATCCCCTGGCGCATGGCCAGAGTCCTTGGTCAGCACACCTGCCTCACCTTCCTGGCTCTGAGCCCTTGGTGAATGCGCCCCGGGGCTCTTCCCGTCCTAACTTTGTCTAATTCTAAAGAAAGTGCTTTTTTTTTTTTTCTTTCCTTTTTTTGATTCTTTCTCTGTATGTAGTTCCACTTGAAAACCTTTCTACTCTAGAGGTCAAGAGAAAGCCGCACCCTGTCAATTTAATGTTTCTGCTCCCTGCCCAAGAGGTGTGAAATCACAGCCTGCCACCCAATATTAAAGGCCGTTTTCAATGAATGTATAGATGGCTATGTCCAGATAACTTGTGACTTAAAATACATGATTACCAGTTTCCCTATTAGATCAGCCTCTGGATCGTCACAGGTCTGTCCAGGTCACAAGGAGGCCGAGCCCAGTCATCAGGCAGGAGACGGCGATGCCTGGTGAGCTGGCCTGGCGTGATGGCCCTAGACTCCCTCTTGGCGAACCTCCCCAGGGAGAGGAGATGCTCCCGAAATGGGCCTTCTCTCAGGGAAAGGCAGCTGCTTCCAAAACACGCACAGCTCCTATAAAGCCCAACCTGCTTAAAGTTGTATTTACTTTTATGTGTTTCGGTCTTAATTACATTTTTCTGTACTAGCATTTTTATTCGTTATGTAAAACAATTTTCAAAAATAGTCATACCGTAATTCCTTCCTCGATACACAGTAGCTGTTTACCTTCCGGTATCAGGTTGTCAGCCCCTTATTCATGCGTGTCTGTACTTACAGCACTGCTGTCCGCAGAGTTTAGAAATTATGGGCAAAGGGTGCGAGGCTGGTGTTCGGCAGCTCCTAAGCAAGGAGAATTCCCCTTGGGGCATTGTTCACGTCGTCCGGGACTTGTTTAGAAAGCCTGTATTACTCAGTTTGCTCTCAACACATAAGCAATCTTGTATTTTCCTTTTTAACTTAGCATAATTTCATGCACACTTTTCCATGTAGCTACATAATCTTCAGATTTATCATTTTAATGGCTGCTTAATATTCCATCCAGTTAGCATGCCATAATTTACTTAACTGTTCCTATTGTTGGGGCCTTAATGAAAACTTGAATTCGCCGTGTAACACGGGGAAAGCTTGTTTTAATGATTACCATTATAACATCCCCCGGCCTAACTGCATGCCATTACTAACCCAGCTTTGTAAAGCCCAGATGCTTTAGGAACAATAAATCCTGTGTGAGAGGTGCACGCACGAGGCCCTCTGATTTAATAGCTAATCTGCTTACTGGCACGTGTTTCTCTTTTAGGTTGGTATTTTATAGAATATCCATCTCCTCTGAATATTGCACAATACTAAACTGTACGCATTTAGCATGTTGTTCCAGGTGCTTTGCCAGTGCTGTCAGGGAGTTTCATAAATTAACTGGAATTGGGGGTAAATCTGGCTGTCAGTTGTCGCTCATTTATCCCACCCAGATTCATGGAATATCTGTTTGCAGCCGGGCTCTGAGAGAGTGAGGGCGCTCCTGATTATTGGAGGCCCACAGAAGTGTGTTGGTGAATTGCTTTGTGGTGCCCAAGATTAAATGGTGATTCTCATGCAAAACGCTTTGTAAAGTGTAGAGCACAGCGCTGCTGGTCCCACTTGAGTATAGTGGTTTTCCTGGGTCAGTGCCTATCAGCTGCGTTCCCGGTGTCCTCAGCCCTCGGGATTCTCCAAAGACGGGAGGCAAGACTGCACTCCTTAGAATCAGGGAGACAGTGACATGGATGACAATGACCTCACAAAGCAGGTCTGATAGATAGTTGGGGAGATTTAATGATTTACAGAGTTGTCTACAGTACTTTACAGTTGGTCTTCACCTTCCAGAGACCAAGTACTACCTTTTCTAGCTCTTCTCTTTTCCTCTTCCTCCCCCATAAAAAGGGAAGGATCGTCCTCAAAACTAATACATGATTCCACTTTACTCATGGGGTCCACTAAGACGTGCTTTGCCAAAGTGTGGGATGTCTCAGAGGAGACCGGGTTTCAGGTGGCCTGAGAACCAGGTTTTAAGAAGGTTTTTCCCTTTTCATTCTCTCTAAAAAGAGAAAGCTGTCATTTGCCAAGGAAAGTGTCTGTTTGGTGCCCTCATCCCCAAGCTCTCCAGTATCTGCCCATCTTCTCAGCTGAGGGAGAGCAAGCCGCGGGCCCGCCGTCCTGCGGGCAGTGGCACCTGCCCAGTGGGGTTAGCCCTCCTCCTTTCTCTTTGTTTATCACCTACGTAGATAAGGGCTTTGGGGAGGATGATAGAAAGCTTACTTTTTAAATGATACTATTTTCTCTAAAAAGTGAATAAATAAATGTGGTAAATAATAACCCAGTTGGTACTCAAAAAATGGCGAACTCATGAATTCAGTATGTGACTAAATGAAGTTTGGGAGATACTACCATAATACTACCATGTTATTCAATGTCAACACTGACGACCCTCGGCACAGCCTCAGTCGGCTTCTGTTGTCCCAGCGCCTGTGCGCAGGGCGCGGGGGTTGTCCTCCTCGTGAGCTGGTCTTGGATCGTGGAGCCCTGCCTAACAGCAATGCTCTTGCGTGGAAGGGCTGTTGTCACTCGTGTGTTTTTCCAGCTGCTCTTAAGGCACATATGATTTGACCATACATCTTTATGTCACTGGAACTGTAATTTGGAAAATACCTCCAGTTAAACAGCTGTTTAACAGCACTCTCTCACGACCCTCGCCTCTCTGGTGTCAAGCCTCGCCTCCGCTCTCTCCCCTCTTTGGGCCCAGTACTCCAGCAAAAGTGGGCAGTGAATAGACGTACAATGGGATGCTATTCAGCCTTAAAAAGAAATGGAATTCTGACCCATGCTACAACATGGAAGAACCTCAAAACATTGTTATGTGAAAAAAGCCAGCCACAGAAGGACAAATATAAGATTCCCCTTACAGTGAGGTCCCTAACGTATCAAATTTATAGAGTCAGAAATAGCGTGTTGGTGGCCAGGGGCTGGGAGACGGAGAAATGGGGAGTTATTATTTAATGGGTACGGAGCATCAGTTTGGGAAGATGAACGCGTTCTGGAGAGGGATGGTAGTGAGGGTTGAGTATACTTAGTAGCACTGATCTGTTCACTCCAATGTGTGTGCTTTACCACAGTAAAACAGGAAAGCAGGCAGTGAGTATCTGCTCTGCAGCCCAAGTGCCCTGGCTGGCCCTGCTCCTTCCACAGGGAATCCTGTCCTTTCCTTTTCCTGCTTGTCAGAGCACAGGGTTCAAATGTCATCTCTGCCTCCTGCATCATCCCTCACACGCCCTGCCTTGAGCCCCTTTGCTATACTGTATCATGGTGACTGAGATTGTCGTGGCTCTTGTGGAAACAGTGGGCTTCCCGAGAGCAACTTCTACAGCGAACCCTGCCTTCCCTGCGTCCCCACGTGGGCCCCGCACACAATGGGTGTTCACAATCAAAGCAGGTCAGGTGTCTCTGTTTGTCTCAGAAGCACCCAACTGTAGCATCCCTGCGTGCCTCTTCTAGCCACCACTGGCCTCTCGGGAATGAGCAGCCGCTGAAATGGAGGTCGCCCCTCAGCCTTCACCAGAGCTAGTCCCTGGCGTCCTCTCTGGGAGATGAAGAGGTCTCCTTCCTTATTCAGAAGTGGAGCTGGACATCTGCTCTCACATCGCTGTGATGCGCTCAGCATGTTAGAAGACAGGCATGCTCAGGGGGCCGGGCAGGAGTCACTTTATAGGGGAGACAACGGTGACTCCAGGTCCCCTGTGGTGGCTTGTTAGTTTTAAAACAAGTGTGCAAGCTGGGTGAAAGCTTGAGGAATGAAAGTCCTGAGGACAGAGAGGGACCCTAATGGGGAAGGGCCTGCTGTCTGTAAAGCGAGGGGTGAGAGCTCTGTCTGCTCGGGGCTGGTGCACCTCGGGGCCCTGCCCTCCAGGCTGCAGTGAGCGAGCCGGGGGAGGCAGTGAGCCTTCTCCCTCTGCCCTCAGGTCTGAGAGCCTGAGAGCTCGTGAGGAAGCCTCACCCGGTGAGAGCAGAGATGCTGCCTTTCAGGGTGGGGGAACAATGGATGCCAAAGGGGGCCATTCCTGGCAGTCCTTACCTCCTTGGCTGGCAACTCTGAACTCCTGTGGGTGTCACCTGGCAGATCCCAGGTGAGGAAGTGTGCGTTTCAATTCTGTTACACCTCTGCTTCCCTTTTGTTTTTTGCTTGCAGAATTTCAGAGGCAGGAAAGTGTCCGGTCCCAGCACAAAGGCATCCAGTTATATGACACCCCTTACGAACCCGAGGGCCAGAGCGTCGACTCGGACTCAGAGAGCGCAGTCAGCCCCCGACTGCGGGAGAGCAAGCTGCCTCAGGATGACGACAGGCCCGCTGATGAGTATGACCAGCCGTGGGAGTGGAACCGGGTCACCATCCCAGCTCTGGCCGGTAAGCAGCCAGTGGCCTTGCTCAGAGACGGCCACTCAACTTTGGCAAAAGGAGTCAGTGCCCTGGTCCCTGCCTGCTCAGGTAAACCACAGGGCTGTACTTGATAATCCAGTCAGGCCAGCCTTTCTTCTAGTACAGCTGACCCCCTCAAACAGGATGAGCATCCTGAAGGGAAGGCAGGCCGGGCCAAGGGGAAATCCTGGGTCTCGGTTCCAGTCTTCCTAGACGGCCCAGGTAATCTCACTGTCTGACTCTGTCTTGGTCTTGTTGGTGGTAACGCTCTAGCTCACTGAAGCCAAGTCTTCCGAGTTCAGAAGGAACTTTCTTCGAAACTAAAACAAAACCAACCTGCAGAGCGTCTCCCGTTGGGCCTGAGGGAACCTAGTGTTCCTGTGTAGGCGCACAGCTGCGCTGGGCCTGTGTGCATCCAGGGCCGCTGCGTTTCCTGCCCCGGCGTTAGCATGGGCCCATTCACAGAGCACAGGCCGCAGGCACGTCCTGGCCACAGCGCTGGCCCTCCCCAAGCCAACAGCCCCTTGAATGATTCAGGCACCTCCCCTTCGCCTCACTCTGAGCCTGGTTTTCTCTAGAACCTGGTGCCACGGCACTGAAGCTCTTCCACAGCCTTTTGGAAAACAGCCTGCCACACGCGTCAAGGTCCGGAGCTTGTTCACACCCTTTGATCCTAATTCCAGTCCTTACGATTCGTGCCAAGGTTATGATCTAAAATTCAGAAAAGGCATTGCTTATGATCGTGAAAGATGAGGAACAGCCTGAATGTCCAGCAAATAGGGAGTGATTAAATGGAGCATTGTGCAATCACTGAAAAATGCTGTGGACAACAAGCTTATAACAACCTAGGGAAATGTTCAATGTTAAGAGGTGAAAAGCCAGGCGCAAACATGTTTTTATGCATTTAAAAAGCTAGACATGTGAAAAAGAGACATTGAATGACTAATTCTTACCACACTGAAAGCCATAAAGGGAGAGTTTTTATTTTTAATTTCTTTAAAATCCCTATTGCCTGAAATCTCCCTTTTTCATGCACAGCTAGACCCTTCCTCCCTTTCCGGCCCCCACCAGTGGGGCCTCTGCCCTCACTGCACATCCCAGCCCCCTCAGTCGATGTTCCAGCTGTTCTAACACACACTGTTCACCGTTCCCTGGATGTAGCACTCTGTGCACATCCCAGTCCTTCTGCCTATGTGCCTTTCCCTCTTGTATCTTACCTGGAAAAATCTGAGCCTCCTTTGGGGCCCAGCTCAAATGTCACCGTCTCTGTGAGCCTCCCCTGACACAGCCACGCGTCCCATGGGCTTCCTTACCGACGGTCCAGGCTGGCGAGCTTCCTGCACGCATGCCTAGTGAGCATTTCTCACACCACGTAGAGTTCCTTCTGTAGGTGCTGGTGTCGCCCCCCAGGCTGTGAGCGCTTGGCGGAGAGCCAGTAATGAGAGTAGTTGCATGGCTGAAGGGCCTTGGTCACCTCAGGTATCTCCTGTGCGTTTCACCACCTCCTGCTTCCCTTAGCACAAGGGATTTAAGAGCTGGCCCGGCCTTCTGGCATAGCTGATAAGGGGCTGTGCTTCTCCTGGATGTAAGGGGAGCTACAGTGGAGCCTGTCCTGTCCGAGAACTTGCTCTTTGTAAATGCTGGTTTGTTTAAAAGGCTAAAGGAGCTCATGTGACAACTCTCCCAGGTACCAATGGCGTGAGTTATCACTGTAGACAGGTAGGGGGCCTTCCCCCCCACCCCCACCCCCTCCCGGGCTCAGCACCTGCAGGTCACTCAGTGCCCTACCTTAGAAGCTCTACTCTAGTCTGGTGCCTTGCTGCTCAAACTGTGGTCCCTGGACCAGCAGCTGGTGAGAAATGCAGAGCTGAGTACCTTTCCAGACCTGCAGAGTCAGAATGTTTTAACAAGACCCCCAGGCGATTCACACGCATGTTAAAGCGAAAAGCACTTGCCCTACCGGACATCATCTCTCCAGAAGGCTCTCAGGCTAGAACGTGCCCAGGTCTGCCCAAAGGGGGGTTCAGAACTTCTATCCATTAGTTTCTCACCAAGGATCACAAGGCCTCTGAGTAAGTTTCTGGGCCACAAGTATCCATTCTGGACTAGGCTTTATGTCAGAGTTGTATCAGAGGTGTTATTATAGGTTGACAGCAGACAGACTCAGAATCACGCCCCGTCTGTATCTTGCGGAGTCACTTATCTCCGTGTGTCTGGCTGTGCTTTTCCAAGAAGCTTTTGGCTCAGTTCTGATTTCTTGGGCCTGGAAGGAAGCCATTTCACTTGGGCCACAGGCACCTGTGAGCTCGGGCCTGTGGTCGTGACTGGGTTCCTCCCCCATGTCTGTGGACGGAGCCTATCAGGTGCAGTGTTGGTAGGTGAGGAGTGACTCCTGTTTTCCACCCAGAATGGGGATGAAGTGAAAGTAGAGAGGCCACCTGTCAGGTAATGAGGATGCGTTGTAACAGCTCGACTGGCTTGATTACTAAAGTGCTGCCGTGGTCCCATTTGTAAACCCAGAAGTGTGGCTGCTCGGGAATGAAGGGTAACGTTCCCGTCTGAGTGAGCGGCGTGCGTGCATGCTCACACGTTTACGCGTACACATGCTTTAGCAAGTCATTGGTGTTGTCGGAAGGCAAGGCAGTGCTTGGGGAGCCCCCGTTCCCCTTATCACAGAACCTATTTCACACTCAGCTTTTCTGGGCTCTTGGGAGCTCTCTGATGGGTCCTGGAAACCGGGGGTGCAGGGTCCTTAGCTGGGGAACGTCTGTGAGGGATGAAGTTGCCTGGACAAGATGATTACCACCTCTTTTTCCACCCCTTGTGTCCTCTGACTCTGCATGTTTAGCCTAGATGAGGAAACCTGGACAGGGTTTTCAAATTTCCAACAGGTGTGGAGTATGAGGGGCCTCCAAAGGGCAGAGCTGGGCCCACCAAGGAGGAGACAGGGATTTGGGGTCCAGGTGAGTGGTAAGGATTTCAATTACCCCAGAAAGTGTATAACGAGCTTCCCCTCACTGGGAGCTTGTAGGCAGGAGCTCGGCTGAGGCAGGGCTGTTGTCCGGGGGCTTTGTAGGCAGGAGCTCGGCTGAGGCAGGGCTGTTGTCCGGGGGCTTTGTAGGCAGGAGCTCGGCTGAGGCAGGGCTGTTGTCCGGGGGCTTTGTAGGCAGGAGCTCAGCTGAGGCAGGGCTGTTGTCCGGGGGCTTTGCCAGCAATGGACGGCGAGCCCACAGGCCCCGGCAGGGATGCTGCATCCAGCAGGAAGGGCCCCTGTGTGCTGGTCGGAGCCCAGGAGGAGGGGAGGCCTATGAATTATCTTTATGATTCAGTCTGTGAAGCAAAAGTGTTCTCTGCCTTTCCAAGTGCTATCCTGCTTTGCATTCGTGAAAAGAGGCACTTCACAAAGGGGGGCTTTGGCGGTCACCACAGAGGTAGCCCTTCTGGGCCAGCAGCTCCGGGCCGGCCTCTATGGAAGTCAGACCCTTCCCCTCTCAGCCCGACTCTGGGGGCTGCAGCCTTGGGGAAGCTCGATTCTCACTCCCGGTTCTGTGAAAACAGCTATTGCAGGGTGTGAGGCAGTCAGCTTCTTGGCAATGAAAGCTTCCCTTAGAATTCTGTGGCCGAGTGAGAAAAATACCACAAGCTCTCACAAAATCCCTGGGCCTTCATTGCCTGCCCTCCCTCCAGGAAGCTGACCATGAACCCTTGCCCCCACCTCGCCAAGCCCAGTGGGTCCCATTTCACTTGCCTGACCTTGGTTGATCCCAGCCCCCGGGACAGATGCTGCTCAGGTTTCACCCCCAGACTGCAGCCCCCTTCCCACCCGCAGAGACACCTGCCTTCAGAGCTGGCAGGACGCAGTTCCCAGCCTGCTTGTCCCACCCCCTGGGGGTCTTGACAGCAACAAATTGTGAGACAGGCAGGTCGGTCTAGAAATGGCTTTGCTGCTCGCCCGCAGTACCCTGATGCAGCCCTGAGCTGACACAGAGCTCTCTGGAGATCCTAGCCCGGCATGGGTCAGGAGCAGCAGCCCCGGGTGACTCTGCACTTGTCTGGGGGTAGCACGGGTTGATGTGAAGGGTCTGACAATCGCCCGGGCTTTGTGGCACAGATCATCAGATGGACAAATGGACCTGAACCGAAGGTGACCACACAAGGAGGGGCCGAGGGGCTGGGTGGGAAGCCTGGAGCAGCAGACCCAGGCTCAGGGTGGCACGAACATGGTGTCTCCACGTCTCCAGGCCGCCCCTGGGGGGACCGGGATTTAACCTGTCCTGGAATCATCTGTTCTCTCACCCGGAAACATGCCCACCGCAGAGGGTCCTGGTGAGGCTTGAAGGGCACCACCTCAGGAAAGTGCTGACATTTACTGAGTCGCTTCTGCATGCAAGTTCCCAGTGAGGGGAAGCTCGTTACACGCTTGCAAGTGTAACTGGAATCCTTACCACTCACCTGGACCCTAAATCCCCATGTCTCCTCCTTGGCTGGCCCAGCTCTGCCCTTTGGGGGCCCTTCACACTCCACACTCTTTGGAAATTTGAAAACGCTAGCCAGGTTCCCTGCCCAGGTTTCCTCACCCAGGCTAAACATGTAGAATCAAAGAATTCTGTGTGCATTATCTCATTTAGTCATCACAACCATCCTCTAGGAGACTAGATTCCTCCTTTTACAGAAACCGAGGTGCAAAGAGAAGAAATAACTTGCCCAGAGGCCATTGCTAGTCAGCCACAGAGCTGAGATTTGAACCTGTGAAGTCCAACTCCAGAGCCCAAGCCCTAACTCAGGCGATGTCTGGGCTTCCTGCTGCTCTCCAAGATGCTGCATAAAATGTGGTCGGAGCCCTCCGCCTCCCAGAGCCCATGGGAAGTGTCACGTGCCTTTCATCACTCTTGCACCAAGTTCTCCTTATGTCTATAGCTGGTAGGATATGATACTGGGTGGGTGTTCCCACTCAGAATGGTTCCCTCAGAAGATTCTGTAGGAGCCCA